TCAAGGTTTTGGCCGACCTTTCTCTATCTCTTTATATATAAACATATTTTCATGTTTTAATCTTTGTGGTTAATTTTTGGCCGGTGTAAAACAGCTACAAAAATAGGTATATATATAGGCTAAAATATCGATGGAATAAAACATTGAACTTTTAAGCATATAAACTAAAATGAATAGTTGACACAATTATAAATATTAAATATATGATTGATAAAATGTAATGCAAAGTTTGAATTTTTATTATATACGGCTAAAATTTAAAATAAATTATATATATAAATAAATATTATGTTTGAAGATATAAATTATATTTAAAATTTTTAAATAAAAGATATTTTTAAATATATAAATTATATAAGATATAAATTATATTTAAAATTTTTAAATAAAAGATATTTTTAAATATATAAATTATATCGTAGATTTATGATAAATAATTTATGTTGTAGCACAAGATTATTTTTATTTATTGATAATTTATTTTAAATTATTATAATTTAATTCATAAATAATTATAATAAATAAAAATCAAAGTTAAAAAAACTTTAAAAATTTTCTCATTAAAAAAAATCCTTAAAAATGCTCTCGTGTATGGTTATTGCCATCCCTTCCTTGATCTCCCATATAGTAAACCTTTTGTTGGGGTTCTTCTACTTTTACCTCACATCAACCTTGAAGATGTGTGTCTTCACATGTCTCACATCCACTAATGTAGTAATTAAATAGATGCGGGTGTAGGTGCATAAATTTACATTTGTTGCATCTATCGTGGACGCATCTTGAATGTCTTATTGAGCACCTCGATCTATTGGATTAGGAGTTTATTTTGGGCAATAAGAATTGCATTGTTTGGCCCCAATTATGAAATTCGTTTTAGTGGTGCAAATATTAAACTTTGAGATTCACTTTGAGTGCCAACTATGATCTAAATAATAATTGTGGCTTCATTTGACGTCTTATATTTGATGTCATCTCCAGCTAAGGCATATAGGATGAGCTTTGTGTGTAACATCAATCCAGCTAAAAGGGTGCACATCTAGTCAAACTTGTCTAGATAATGGCTCAAACACTTCCTCAACAAGTAGCGGTATCTACTCCAAGCCTTTGATAATAACATTAACTTCTTGTGACAAGGTATTGATGACAATCGTTGTTTGTTTGATCTTCTCAAGAAGGAATTACTTCTTGAGAAATTTGTTGACCAAGTCCTCCCATGTGGTGAAGTTGTTTGACGAGAATTATTGCAACCAATAGTTGGCCTTTCCAACGAGTGAAAAAGGGGACACTACCAGCCATATGGTGTTATCGGGCACACGACCCTAATATTGCATGGTTTGCAAATCATGATGAACTCGAAGAGATGGTTATGAGTACTCCTCATTGTTCGCTCCCTAAAATTGGTTCCTCTTATATGATCAACAACGCCAACTTGATCTCAAAGTGTGTGGTTATAACTACAAGCCTAATGAAATTGTTGAATTCGTGAGTGTAAGAAGCTCACAGAAAAGCAACCAGAAAAATAAGAAGGAGCAATTTACGTAATGAAATACCTCTGTATCGTATTATATATGAATATAGTAGCATGGATTTCTTACAGCATGAAAAATGAAGGCTAACACTTGAAGCAGTGTAGCAGATACAGAGAACAAAAGAAATTTCCCCTAAGGGCCAAGAGAGAGAAAACAGATTCTAACCACCCCCCCTCTTTGCCTCCTCTCTGATCTCTATATAGATACCCCCACTCACCACACAAATTCCTTCAACATTTGATTGGGCTTCCTTGTACGCTCACTTTTTCTGCCAGCTTTGATTTCCTCATTCTTTTCCACCTGTATATTTTGTGTAACGGTTTCCCCACGTTCGTTTGTCACCCAATCACCATTCTCCTGTGACTCTTTATCCAATGACTCTTCTACCCTCGTAACAGTGAGTCCCTTGTTAGTGTTGGTGGAGGTGGCAGTGGAAGATGTTGCTTTTCTTCTTTTGCCATTGGTCAGAGAGATGATGTGTTTTGTCTCACCTTTTATTTCTTCCTCCTCTTAGCGCCGTTCTTTCAACAAGTTAATTTCCAGGTTGTTATGAATATTTGCAACCTGAGTTCTACCTTGCACAAACAAATCATGATCTAGAAAAGAACAAGTGAGATCTAATAAAATAAAAATCAAATCAAATAAAAAAAATAAAGATAAAATAAAAATAAAAGTTTGTAGAATTTAAAATGCATCAAATTGAAATTAATCAATTATAGGACACAAGTCACTAGAAACAACCCCATTAGCTTGTTAATCTTTTGGAAAATGTATTAATTTTTGCAAATATTAAAATGAATAGAAGTCCAAGTACCAAATCCACATATACTTACATTACGATTGATAATCTAATTAAACGCTAATTAGGGGAAATTTATAAAATGTTGTTTGAAGAATACATAAAAAGTAAAGGAATATTTTTAGGATTTTAAGAATAAGAAGACAGATTAAAAAATAATTAAAAATTTATAATAAGAGATGTTAGAGATTGATTTCACCAACCTTTCTTAGCATATCATTCCATTTATTATTCAATTTCAGTTATTATTAAGTTAATTTAACAACTAAACATTTTAACCCTAGTCCCTTAAATGAGAAATTCTAGGTTCCTAAATAAAATTTCCAATCCCTTAGTGGAGTTAATTAAGCAACCGTCATTAAGATTGAAGGTCAAAAAGTTGACTACCAGTTCTTATCCTATTCCTAGTAATCAACATTATTAGTATTGTTCTCCATATCATAGTTTTAAAAGGGATTTTCAACCTTAACTAATTCTATGGGATCATGTTAGAAATGACAAATAAACTCGTCTTGTGACTAATATCCGAGCTTATCCTGACTTTGACAATGAATACGTAGTTTGATTAGACATGTGTACGAGTATGAGTAATACTCGATTTATTAAATTGAGTTCGGGAACGGGGATAGATATATATTTATCCACTTCGTACTTGTCTCCATTAATTTACCTTTGAAGAAAAAAGTAACTATGGTAATTTATGTAATTCTTACTCTATTTTTAAATTTATATTAGATGAAACTTAACTAATATAATTTTATAATTATTAATCTATATTGGAATTATTTTTTTTAGCAAAAAAATATTTAATTAATTTCTGGATAGGTACAAATATACATGATACTCTGCGAGGATGGAGATGAGACACAAATTTTATATCTATCAAGTATCAGGGACAAGGATAGGTATAAAGTATGAACTTGGAGATAAGGGTGCTAAAAACTGCACCTACCCCGCCCTATTGATATACCTAAATCACATAGAGGGTGGTCAAGCCAAAGTACACAATAAGAGAAGAACAAAAACAATTAACTAAATAAAAATTTTAATTGAATAAGAACAGTAAAGAGTTACATGGATTCAAGCAACTACATCAATCCCCAACAACAACGGGTCAATTAGCCACTCATAGCTAATGAGATTGCACAAAGAAATAGAGGAAGACATTCAAGAACTTTGTGATGCCTAATGTTAATCACTTTATTCTCTCAAATCTCTTTAAAATATACAATATGTGAAGTGTCTTTCTATTCTTTCCAAATCTTATTTTAAAAATATTTTAAATGGACTTTCTTTTAATGTGGGTTTATAGTGTCTACTCACTCAAAGCAAGCATCTGCCTTTCTTGAGCAAGTACTTCATTAATGCTCCTAATGATATCTATACTCTTGTTCGCTTAAGGTGCCAAGTGGCTCGCTCAAGTACATAAGGTTGCTTTGGGCATGCTTCACCTTCACCCTTAACGACAACTCCTTAGGCTTAATGCTTTTGGTCTTATCTCGCTTAAGCGACCAAGTTGATTCACTTAAGCGAACTTGTCATGTTCAACTTTTGTCTCTTATTGGCCTTAGTTTCTTCCTTCTTCCTTGTAACTCAAAAACTAACAAAAGACATAAAAAAGAACCTAAAATTTAAAAGAAATATACTAATTAAACATGACTAAATTAAAATACTTATTCTTTTACAAAAAACTGACTCTAAAACATAAGATATACTCAATAATTTTCTAAATTAGATTAAAGATATTAACTCAATTAGCAATTATTATTTGGCAATAACAAAAAGTCAGATGTTTATCACTTTTTGTTGACAAACTACTCTACCTTATCACGATTCTTCTAGTTTCTAGCAATGTTGCTAAAATTACAATCTTATAATTGCAAGATTGTGTGGTTTTATAATTCATAACACCTTGTCCGTGCTGGATCGTGTGTATGATCGGATAGAGGTGACAAATCGAGGTAAAATCGGATCTTGTGTATACTTCACCAACCTCCAATGCTAAGCCCACTCTAGTAGTTCAATCTTTTTTAGTTTCTTATTACTCTGCACACTTGCACGTGGTAAGTTTTGCAAGTTGGTTTTATTCATTCAGTTATGGTTTTTGACTTGGTCTCAAACTATTTGCAAGTTGGTTTTATTGTTACTAAACTTTGAGACTAAAATCACTATATATATATTGTTTCTGGTTGAGAAAATAAACTTAACTCAAACACTACACTTACAATTTATATTCTAAAATTATCTCTCCTCTTAAAAAATTATTTCTTACAATTTATATTCTAAAATTATCTCTCCTCTTAAAAAATTATTTCTTATTACTAAAAGTATGTTTTGGAGCAAAGCATATCAAATTAACCTAAGAGTAAAGTAGGATGTATGGCACATTATATACTTCAATCTTAACTTCTCTAAACTATTCTTCTTATTTTGTTTTACTCTTTATTATTTTAATTTCATCATTTGTTGATATAATTTCAATAATAAATAATATATTTTTATTTCTTATTTTCATTTTCTAACAATCATGTCATACAAAATAATCTATAATTAAATGATAATATATAAAATAATTTACATGGTCAATATATTATAATTAAGAGACACAGAGAGTGAAGCCTTTTCAAAATCACCATCACTATTAAGCCAACAAAGCTTTAAAGATTTTCTTGAGCTACTAAAAGTTTATATGGATTAGCTACTTCCTTATGCATATAGATGTAGATTCTCCAAAAGAACACCAAGAAATGTCTCAATAAAAACAAGTAATACTACATTAGAATCAAAGAGAAATGTACTACTCCAATTTCTTTGTCACCCCAATCCTCATAAGAGCACAATAAGCCACAAGTCTGTAGCCTATTAGCATTATGAACAGAGCCAATGCAGCAGTGAGTTGCCCTTGTAAATGCAGCCCCATTTGCTTAATCATAGGATATTCTGCTATTAAACACTTACCACTAGAACATGGGTATGTGCCACTAGACTCATACTGAGACCCCATCAAGAGATGGTATATGTAGTAGTTGATGGAAAAGTATTTCAGCCATGCCATAAACTTTGGCACATGTTGAACATAGTATCCACCAACCAGAACAGAAGTTAGCACAATCACCGAGGCCAGTGTGGTTGCGGATTTCTGGTCCATTACAATAGCACCAATTGCAAGGCCTAGCCCTTGTGAAGTTAACACATTGAGTAGAACACTGAAGAGTGTGTATAAGAAGTTGGTGACATTGTGCTTCAACCCTGCCATCCAATAGGTTATGGTGAGGAATATGGTGGGAAGCACAAGCTCCATTGGAAGGTCACTCACCATCCTTGACATGAAATATGAAGAGAGCCTGTACATTCCAGAGGATCGTTCCTTCTGCAGCATCATTAGCTCTGGTGGGAAGGTGAATATTGCTTGGTAGAGAGGCATGCCACACCAGAAGCCAGTAAGGAAGAATAGAAGCCCAATCTGCAAGTACACAGAAATTGAATTATTGTTTTGTATACTGAGAAAAATGGTAAAATGGGACCCTCAGCACTGACCCAACTAAAAGATTACTGAACAAGCCTAAATTGCAAATAATTTTATACAAACAAAACTTCGCAGTACTCCTTTTTGAGGGCAACTATTTTTAGACGCCTTTTTGGGCTTGCCATGTGGTCCGTGGCCACTAAGCCATGATAAAGATTCAACTATTGCTATATAATACCCTTTATGCATAGAGATATGTGACTAATTATGCTACTTTTTAGCGTCAAAGTGTTTATGTAAGTGTTACCGGATGTTGGTCTGGATGGTCTGAGCCTTTGTTCTCACCTGAAGCATCCACCATGTTCGAAGGTAAAAAAACCTAGGAACACTACTCAACTAATTTTTAAGTGCCAAGATTTTAGTGACATCAGAGAAATCAAACACACCTTCATGAAAAAGATGAGAATTCATTTTGGATCCTTAATCAATTGTGTAAACTTACCTTGTCAATTGAAATATTGTTGCAAGCTTACAAATTACTCTATAACCTTAGTCATTCATGACTTAATTCAGCTCTTTGATTAGCCATACATATTGTTACAAAGATATTTTTGTGTTAAAACCTGGCGATAATTCAGGATTATAATTTCAAGTCTTTAGAGAAACTATATTCACATATATTTACTTTTGGTGAGTCCAATACTACATCAAATTGAGCTAAACATGACATCTTATGAGCACGTATATAATGTATTTTTTTAAGTGGGACTCTTATTTATCTATTGAAAGTTCTTACCTGATCCTGCAAGTGTGAAATATCACACTTATACCACATTGATCCTGCAATAAGAGCAACAATGAGGACCTGACAAATCCGCAAACCAGAGAATGATTCATACTTTCTCTCTTTGACATGTCGTTTTAGCAGCACAAGAAATTGCTGCAACCAACTGGTAGGCCATTCACCAAAGTCATTGTCTTCAAATCTACCCTCACTCTTATCATAGTCAGTAATTTCATGAAGTACCGGTTTCAATTTGGCATCGAAGTAGGTCCTATATGCATAAATCAACTTATGCTTGTTTAAGGCATGGTCCTCATTCGATTGATCAGTGTAGACACCTGCAAAAAAAAATTCCCCATGCAGCCGACTAAGAAATTAAAACCGAAGCATTTTTTAAATAAACATTAATTAGAGGCTTAAAGCCTAGATAACTTATTTTTATCCCAATGTTCTTTAGCATATTTTCTGCATAACTATATGAAATACTAACTCACAACAAAGTGTTCATTTCTAAGTTCTATTTTTGATTCCCTAGATTATTAGTCCATGAGATTGGAAGCATTGATCACTTTAGAGTTCTTTACTTTCTAAAATTTCCATTTTGCCTAACTTTGTAAAATTCATGCAATTTAGTCCTTAATGTAAGCCAAAATTAAATGAAATGAAAAGGAACTAAAAAGAATGACTTCTAACATTGTTGCCTTATAATCAGAGAGTAATTTGGAGATTTACTCAATTAATATTGAAAGTTAGAATAACTGAATTTATACAAATATATGTAGGTGCTAATAAAAAAAATGATATTTTGAACTTATGTCCATGCAGAATAGAGTCTGATAGAATAAACAGCATACCATTTGCTAGATCCAAAAGGAAGTCTGAGGGGTTCATGGCCATGGTAGGGACAAATCCAATATTAGTAAAATATTCCATAGCTTCAGACCCTTTTCCAAAATACAATAGGTTCCCTTCTGAAAGCAGCAACACCCTGTGAAACATGTAGTACACCCTACTAGAAGGTTGATGTATGGTCATCACAATGGTTCTCCCTCCATTTGCTAGCTCCCACAAAGTTGACACAATCCTTTTAGCTGTTGTTGAGTCCAAGCCAGAGGTTGGTTCATCAAGGAACAACAAGCTTGGGTTTATGAGCATTTCTTGTCCAATGCTAACCCTTTTCCTCTCCCCTCCTGAAACCCCTCTTAGTAGTGGCCCTCCAATGATGCTATCCTTGCACCTGGTTAAACCAAGTTGAGCTATCACAGAATTTGCATGCACAATTTTCTCCTTTTTGGTGAAACTATTTGGCAGTCTGAGAAGGGCAGTGAACACTAGAGTTTCTGTCACAGTTAAGTGGGGATAGAGAACATCATCTTGTGTGACAAAACCAGTGCTCCTTTTCATTGCATTTGAGAAGGCTTTGCCATTGTAAGTTATGGTTCCATAGAGTTTCCCTCCAAGCCTTCCTCCCAAAGCTGATAGCAAAGTTGTTTTGCCACTTCCAGATGGACCTAACATGGCTAGGACTTCACCAGGTTGAACCATGCCTGTCACCCCATTCAGTATTACTTTCTCTTCTGCCTTTGTGTTCTTAAGCAATCCCCACTTTGTGATCTTAATTTTATAGATAACATCATGGAACTATATGCAATAAGTATTAAAAAAGATCAGAATTGATCCATCTTAAAGGGTGTTATCAATGACATATTTAGATAAATTTCTTTAAAAATATTTATCAGAGAAACAAAATAAGAAAGAAAAAAAAAATTAACTTCTCCCATATTAGTTTTTTAATTTTTTTTAGTTTATGTATAATATAATTATATTTTTTTTTTCTCTGTTTTTTTTTATAAGTTTTTTCAATTAAAATTTTCCAAATAGATTCTAAAGCTAGAAGATTAACCACAAATATGGGAGGGTCTAGGAATGAGAACAAAATCATCATAATTTTCTATATCATGACTTTGGCTATGAATATGAATTCATGTGGGGATAAATTAAGAACCAGCAGTGAATTTTCCATCAACAATGTCAGAAATATTTTTTTTTTTCCTGAATAATATACACGGGGCTAGATTTTAATTATGAGAAAAACATGATTTTTTAAGTCAATCCATGCAAAGAGGAAGATACTAGTTATAATTATGATGTAAACCCTTCTTTAAAATCACAACACCTTGAGAGTCACTGGAGGATTTGTCTTGTGAAAGATTTCAGGTGCTTCCTCCTGCAGTGTTGCTTTGTGATTAGTTTGAGACTCTAATTCTTCCACCTCCTGCTCCATCAATATTCAGTAGCAATTTTCAGATAAGAATAACCCTTAAATCTGTATCCTCTCTATATAAGAATAAAGCTTACGTAAGATACCTCAATGAGATAGAGTCTCTGTGTGCCTAAGTGATATTACTTTTCTCAAAATTGAATATGCGTGCTCATTTTCTTTGATGCTAGTATTAGTACACTACAGTTGGCATGCAGTTGTAGCACATTAATGTGAATTGTGGACAAAGAAAAATGATTGCGTTTCATTAGGAAAACGATGCATAGACACCCCGTAATAACAGACACCTAAAGAGAGAAAAGAAACAGAAGAAAAAGAAATATAAATGTGAGTAGATGATTAGGAATGTTAATGGAGTGTTTGCATTGTTGGATCATAGTTACCGAGTACACAATACAGGTACTGGTACGTCATGCACGTAGATATACGATGTGTTACATTTTACGTTATTATTACAAGACTTACTTTAACCTCATATTTACTTACATTGGTAGTGTATTTTTTTTTTTAACTATATGTATCTATTATTAAAGATAATCTTGTTTGAGTTAAATAAAACATCTATAGACAATAAAATCCTTTTTATAAGCATTAAATACGATTACATACCTCAGACTCGAACTCAAATTACTCTAACCAAACTGAAGTAATATTGTACCAGTTGAACCACATGTTCTTGGATAAATTAGTACTAAATGATATAATAGCGTATAGCAAGACTCCTATGGTTCTCACGTGATTTTTTATTTTTTATATATTAAAATTATTAAATATGAAAAATAAACAATGGCTGAGATTTTATCCATGCAGATTTGAAAAACTACCATTAAGTTATTGAGAATGAATACTATGACTATTATTGGTGTAGGATCTTGGACTCCCATTCTATGTGAAAAATAAGTCAAAATGTGTAATTCTATTATGTCTCATTTAATCAAGTTGAGAAGGGTCAGGTTAGAGTTAATAGAATGACTTATTTTGAATTAAAACAATAGTAAAATATAAAAAGAAAAAAAGAGAAAATTTCATTGTTTAGTTTACATATTCATCCGACAACATTTTTCGAATTACAATTGAAGATTTGTACAATATTAAATTAAGCTGATTTTTGAATAACAAATTCATAAAACATGATTTTTCGTTTTCAATGGTTTGATCGTCCAAAGTGGAAGTTAAAATATCCTTTATAAGCATCTTTCTCTCTCATATGTGAAGCTATCCAAATTCCATTCTTATTATAGGTTTTTACACATAGTTATGACTTCTTTGTCATCTCGAGGAAATGCAGTTGAAATGCCCTCATCTATTCCCAAAATGTTTAAAAGATGGTTAGAAACTATTGGTAAATAATTGACTAATCTTGCAGGCTGCAACTGGGCTGAGTCTAGAATAAAAATTATTTTTCATTCTCATTGTCTACACTGTTATTCTCACACATGTACTATTTTTTATTTTTGGAATTTATTTACAAAAATACTCTTGGCAGATCTCAATAAATTGTATCAAGATACACAATAAAAATAAATTTTGGTGGTATATTTTATTGAAATTCACACCATTGTATAGGAACTTAGCGAAAAGATGCGTTAGAATGTCATACGCATTTTAAGAGAATCTTATAAAAGTAAAAGTGGACAAAAGAATTAAATAAAAACGGTTATAAATCTACCTGAAAACAATTATGATACCAATTCAAAACCATATAATAAATAGGGAAAGCGTACAACAAAATGTATTATTTAATTTTTAATGATATGTATCTAAGTGCAAGCACGAGTAGGTGCCTTGTTGTACTGAAACCAAATCATCACTTTTCTCTTTCACAAAACAATGTCATTCGACTACGGATGTAATGTTTATGGGTTTACTTCTTTCTATAAAAGTTTCTGAAAAATGTCGCCACTACAAAACTTGAGTCCGAGTAGAACTCATCACCTTTTGGGCTAAAAGGAAAAACGAAAAGAATGTCTTGGCAGATTTTTATGGTTTATAGCGTGAGGGTTACTTGCTAGAATTTAGATGAGTGATACAAGCTACAACCATGTATTCAATTTGTTGTCCGAGTTTAATTGGCATTTCAGAAGATTTTGAACAAACATCTTGTTTTGGAGAAATTAAAAAAAAAAAGAAGAAGGTTTTAATGCACTTTTGTTAATCAAGTAAACTGATTTTAGTTTCAACAATTTTAATTAAACAATTTTCGTCCTAAACAATTTTAGTTTTTAAAGTATTACAATTTTAGTCCCCTTAATTTTTAATTGAATAATTCTAATTTTTCAAGTATTGTAATTATGTGATTTTAATTAGTCTTTCAATTAATATCATAATTATACAAATTTTTAAAGTTAAATATATTATTAATTTTAGTAATAATAAATATTATCATTTAATACATGGATGAAAATTATTGTGTATTTAACTTAAATAAATAAGAATTAGTATATATATAATACTTTCAAGATTAAAATTATTTAATTAAAATTTAAAATAAAATTACATTTTATAATAATTAAAAAATTAAAATTACTCAATTAGAACCTTAAAAACTAATATCAAACATAATTGTAATACTAGAGAGATAAAAAAAATGCAATCAAGAAAAAAAAAGCATAAATTCATCACAATAATAGAAAATCTATATATGGTTCGTTGTTAAAGAAAAATACCGATAACATTCTCATCCTAATACTTTTTTCAGATATAAAATTAAAAAAAAATGTTTTTCAATAAATTTGGGTGAATGATAAAAGAGTGCATGCGACAGCAGAAGAACTCCTCGTCAAAAGGAGATTAAGTTTTTTTTTTTTTTTTTTTTTGGAAGGATAGTAAGTTTGTTAATTAAAGAAAACCATGAGCAAATAAGTTACTTGAGTGCTTCAACATTTTGTTGGCCACGAGCATGAAGTCTGTGGATTGAAAACATTGGTTCATAAATAATTGAACCTATATTTAAGATGTCACTATATTGCATTAGCATTTCTTTTTCATTCATAAAAAAACTAGGGTATTAGGAAATTAATTATCCCAATATACCCTTAAAAATGGGTCGTATGTTTGGGTGGGATTTGCAAAATCGAGAAGAAAAAACTTGTTTAGTATAGCTTTCTCACTAAAAATATCATGTGTAGCAAATACTTCCTTAAAATAATTATTATAAATTTTCACAAACATACAAACATTACTATTAATAATTGAAGGTATAAAACCATAGCTCATTATCGCGTATGAATTATTCACTTTATGTGATAACTGGTTTAAATGTTTAATTGTTTGTTATTTCTATATATCAGCCAACCAAATTATATTAACCCCTTATTAATAATAAAATTATAAAAAAGACTAAATTACTTTTTCATCTCTCATTTTATTCAATTAGTTCTAAAAATTAACATTGTTACTATTGATTGGACAGAAAAAATCATATTGTATAATTTAAAAAAAAAAAAGTCTAAATTGAATATTTTAACAATTGGAACAACTAAAATGAACTAATTAACAAAAGAATAATTTAATTTTTGTATATTTGTTATACATGTACCATCACTAAAAATAAAATAAAATATCAGCACATTTGTTGACTCTCCCTGCTTTACATGTTTTATTGGATAATTTTTGTATGGGTTCAAATAAATAACTTGGGCTTAGCAATTACCAGTGATCACACACTTCTATAATTTACTAAAAAAATGAAAAGTTAAAAATATATCTTTAAGCATTTCATTATTATAAAATTATAAAGTAAGTCTCACTATAGTGGAAAAAGGGTCTACCACATTTGTTTTTATCTACAAAATTAGTTGTATAACTTGTAATATTTAAAGTTTTTTAAAATTATTAAAAAAATATTTTAATTAATTGAATCACTTTTAAAAAATATTTTAGAAACTTTTGATAATTATAAATTTTTTTAATTAAATAATAAATATTTGTAAAATTATTTTGTATAATATTTATTAAAAAAAATATGTGTTTTATTATAATTATTTTATGTATTTTATCTTATTTATAATTGTGTTAGGAAAAATATATTTATTTTATATATTATTTATAAGTTTTAATAATCGAGGGAAGTAAAGTAAAACTCTAGTTTAATTATTTTATTGGAGAGTTAAGCACAGGTTAGGGGGTTAAGAGGGGTTATGTCAATTCTTTTTCATTTCACACTTCTCATTACTCTTGTTTTACGTTTTGTGCTATGAAAAATTGGGAGAATTAGAAATTGATGGAGGTCACCACGTCTACACCTTTTGTTTAGCATTCATTAAAATAAGGAAAGAATGAGTAGCCTCGCTCTGAACATGAGATGTATGAGGAAAGGATCCCAAACTTTGACTTGTGTTTCTACTTCCCTTATGATTCTTGAGTATTCTAATTGAAGTTGTTGATGTATATGTATGTTCAATTGTACGTATGTAAACTAATCTTATAGATTTTGGATTGTCCATGGGTTCTTATGAGAACCAGACCCTAGAGAACATATGTATTGAGTTATTATGGATAACTGAAATGAGCATGTAGATTTAAGTAATTTATGACTTAATTGTATAGTGATACAATGTAATTTGATATTTTATTAATTGGATTTAGATTGAAGGTGTTAATAAATGGTATAAAGAATGTTAGAAACTTATATGAATGATATAATATCAAGTTCTAGACTATTGTAACTCACTCGAGCAACCTTAGACTTGCTCTAAGTGAATTTATCTCACTTTAGGCTCACTTAAGCGAGTCCTATAGAGAGTTTCTGGTAGCTGCTCGCTTTGAGCGAATTTTAGCTCGCTCTAAGTGAGTTAACCTTGCATAAGCGAATGATTGTCTCTCTTAAGTGAGTAAATGGTTGAATTTGCTTTTTCAGTCTCCATGAAAGTTGTAATCCTAGATGTTAGCTTTCAAATTTTATTCGAATCACATAAAAAAAAGGTTTATTACTCAGGTTATGATAAAATTAGTAAATATATGTCAAGTTGTCATATTTAAGCTTAAACATTGCGGTTTCATAATTTTTTAAAAAAGTACATGGTAAAATAAACTCTTGAAGTCAATATAAAAGTTTTAAATAATTATCT